ATATCAATCAAGAATTGACATGGCTAGAACTTGGTTCTAGTACGGGAGATAGAGAGTTCCCTACACTATAGTGCGCACTAGGGGAAGGTACCCATGGGTTAGTAGCCCTAAAGTGATCCCAAGAGTACGGTTTTAATCTGGGTGATATCCGGGTTTCCACATTGGTTGATTTCACTTTTTAAATTTCAAGTTGCTATTCCTAGAAGATTTAAAACTTGTCGTGTTATATGAAATGCTCCAATTTTATTTCATTGCATAGATATTATGTATTATCCTTGATTTCATGCATTTTTTTGTCTTGTTAATTGGAGTGTTCTAATTATGCTAATTATATTGATAATGTAATTCTTGTTAATTCATATCCAAGTATCCTTCTCGTTGTGTTAATTGGATTATTCCAATCTTGTTCAATTACATTGATAATGTGATTTATGTTAAATTGTAAACTAGTCGTGTTCTTTGGATTATCCCAACCTTGATTCATTTCATATATGTATATATATCATGATTCTTGTTGATATTGCTCTAAGGTAGCTTAGGATGATCCATGAGTCTCACTTTGACATAGACGCTAGGTGGCATGATCCCTTTTGAACTGTTTCATGTTAATCTAAAAATCTGAAAGAAATTAAGTCTGTGCATGCTCATTCCCTACGAATAAACTTGTTTACTCACCCTGAAGTTACTGGGGGTATTGTTCAGGTACATGATTCAAGACTCGGAGATTTGCACTTGCCTTGGGTGTTTTGTAGATTTGAAGTTTCTTTTAAAGTGTTCTTGTTCACATGCAAGTGATAGCATGTTTAAGTTTTACTTTTGATGTTGTAACACATAGCTAGGTTCAATATGTCATTCTTACCTTATGATATGTAAAGTGTACTTAGATACACTATTTGGGACCTATTTGATGTGTATGACATGAGGTCATAGGCCACAAACTTTAAAGTTTAAGTATATGCTTTTAGATTCCAAGTTTTTCCTTTGAAATGTAACTTTTCTAACATTGGAGGTTTAACATGTGATTTGGAGTAAATGACATGCAAAGAGGCCATGGGCCATTGTAACACACTTCAATACTTAAAGTATACTTGTTGACATGCTTACATAGCTTAAAATCTTGTTTTTTGACCAATTTCATGTTGAGGTTTGAGGCTTGGGTGAAGCCTCAACATTTCTTGTGCATAACAGGTCATTCAGCACCATCTCGAGTCATTTTGGTCCTCCGAAATGCTAGTTCGGTCGACCAATGGCTGTTGGAAGCTTCATTGCACAGTAAAACACACTTTCCAGTAGGCATTTTCACTGTTTTGGCTTGTTTCGGTCGTCCGAAACTCCATTTCGGTCGACCAATGCCTTATTTTGGTCTGCCGAAGTAACCTCCCCTCAAAAATATGTTTTCAGGAAAGTTTTTTGTCTAGTTCAGTCGTCCGAAACTCCATTTCGGTCGACTGAAATAGCTTTCATTCACCAGCCTCTTCAGTTTTGCTTCAGCACTGATGTTCTGACTTCAAACGATCATATATTCTTCATTTCTAATCCAAATGGGGTGATTCTTGATCCTAAATTCATGAATTTTGAGTCAAATTTCCAATGGTACCAATTTTATTCTCAAATTCAAACAACAATGGGAGTTATTCATGTTTTAGTGAGACAGTGTCAGTTTTCGCTTAAACCGGGAAAGGGCTTCTTGTGAGATTTTTGGCCAAAGATCTTAGAACCTCTTGGAATGTTGTGAAATGATTGGTTTAGGTTGTGTGGACCTCATTTGACTTTCTTAGAGTCAAATCTCCCTTCTTATTTGTAAATTGACCATTTTACCCTTGTTTAACGAGTTTTTGCTCGTTTTTCTACATCTTGTCGTTTTTCCTTCATTCGGACTCCGAATCATGCGATTCTTGAGTCCATCTTGATTAGTTTTTCGTTCTCTTTCCAGCGGTGTGCTCAGTGGCACCTGAATCCATATTTCAGAAATGACTATTTCGTCCCTAGGGGCTTAATTGTTATTTTTCCTATCTCTTGCCTACACACTTTATTCCTTTGGGTTCCGTGACCTCATGGAAGGTCATCTTAGGGTCTTAGAGGTGTGTTATGCCTTGTGAGACCATTGTCTTATTTCTTGCTTCCGCATCTGGATCCGTGAACGGGTCAATTTTCGGTTTATCACTGACGCACCTGGTTAAATAAAAACTCTGGTCACTATAGTTGGATGACTACATCAATAAGTGGCTAAACATTTTTTTAGGGCTAGAGTTATCCTTAAGCATGCCTTCTAGACCTTAATACTTTGCATTTTAAGGGGATTTGTGTTGTAATATTGTCTTGACACTTCATTTATATATGAATCTTGTTTTTACAATGATTTGTATTGATTAATACTTCCAATTGAGCATGTCATTCAATCCATATGTCTATGTATGCTAGAGTAGATGTTCATGTGTTTATCTCTTAGTTTTGTGATATTGATGCATGTCTATGTGTATTGATGCTATGAATTTAGAGATTGTCAAGGCATAGTGCTTAAATAGAATACTCTTGTGGTTTGTTTGATGGTTCATACTCATTTCTTGATGGATTGTGCCTCTACCTTAGTTTAATTAGTTTAATTTTCATGTCCTTAGCTTAGATGTAGTGTAGTTGCTTTACTTTCTTAGATGTGAGGACAATCCATGCTTGTTGTTTGATGTTCTATACTTATGAATACAAGTAGTATAATTCTTTAACTTGTTAGTGTGTTGATTGTGAGCTTAAAGGAATGAATAATGGCTTAGTTTGATATATTGTGCTATTCACTAGGTTGTTTAGACATTATATGCTTAATTAGTCAATCCATGCTTGTTGTTTCAATTAATCACACCTCTTTGTATTGCAATACATGTTTTCCCTCATTCATTACACATTGAGTGTCTAGAATGGTAATGTTTAGTGGTGACCTCTAGATCCCAAGACCTCTCTCTCTTGTTCTCTACCCTTTTATTTATTTTACTTGCCTTGTATTGAATTTATTTGCATTGTAGTTTAATTAATGAATCAAAGCACCTTTTGATCACTCGACCTACTAATCCGACCTTGTTTCTATATTAACATAGCCCTCAATCCCTTGGGACGATCCCTACTCACCCTATCTATATTAGTAGTTAGAGGTAGTAGTTGCACTTTATAAATTTAAACTTGGCCACACTTTCATTGCAACTTGTTGGTGTTAACATGATCTATGAAATTAAGCACACTAGTGACTCGATAGCAGAGAAGCAGATCCAGGATGTTAAGTTCTAGATTTCTATCACGATTTAAGATCAAGAGATCTGATATCACCCTAAGGAAATTGGGGTTAACTTGAAGAGGGGAAAGTCCTAATTTATTAATGACATAACAAAAGAGCGGATACAAAGGGAATCTAATTATGTTTAAGTGAAAAACAGAAAAGAGGATCTCTCTGGGAAGAAGACCCTCTCTGGTTCTCACATCCAAGCCCTCGGGATAGACCCTAATGAAAATATCGTTAGGGATTTCGTTTTTCAAATGAAGAACTTCTAAGTCAGGAGCCCTTGCAATGGTAGAGGAAATTCTCAGTTTTAGGTTTTCTTTCTTTAAAAAAAAAAAAATAGTAAAGAGCAAAATCCTCGAAAAATAACAAGGGATTGAGACTAACCTTAGAAAGAAGATTTGCAGAGTACACTGCAGCAAAGTGAAAAATGAAGAATCTCAAAGGGAAAACTCACCGGAGAAGACTGGTTATTGACAGAAACGATTAAAGGAGATGATGCTCGAAGATAAAGATGAGAAAGACAGAGGAAAGGCGAAGATGGGAAGTTGCGGGTTTTAAGGAGGAAGTGTTTCAATGTCCAAAGAGTCGTGGCAATGATGGTGCTTCAAATTTCAAAACGTGGATCTTTGAGCTTACTATTCACTTCCCCACGTCACCGCCTCGAGCAGTCTTGTCATGATTGAATCTCTTCGATAATCTCATCCTAATCAATTAGGGAGAGATTATGGGGGCAAATGAAGATACCAAAAATGGCTTGGCCGGGCATGACCCAGATTACTAAAAATTGGACCTGGGAAAAATGCTTGGCCCGATCGAATGACCACTTATCAAGCCTAGTATCCACTAAAGCAATCCTCAAGCCCAATCTCAGAATAAAGGAAAGGGGCCGATATCCAAGACGAGCCCAAAAGATCGGTCCAACATGGAGAACTGAAAAAGAAGCTTCTAGAACAATTGTAAAGGTCTATAAATAGAATAAAAAGAAAGGGAAAAGTGGTTAAGATATTTTGACGTGTAAAGACTTATCTTTCCAAATTGAGAGAGTTTGTTTGTTGCATCTTCAACTAATGAAACAACATGATATAATTTTTATGTGTGCAAAACGTCAAGAGAGAGAAATCAGTTTCCACGCTTTACCTATTGTTCGGAGTTGTGGCTTAGAGAAAGCACCAAACCCAGTTTAGACTTTCTTAAATGCATTATCTTTGTATTCAATCTATCTTGTATTGCTAGTTTAGAGCTACAATGCTCTTGTTTCCCTAAGAATTGTTAGTGCTTTAAGTTGCAGACACAGGGGCAAGGCCCATCGTATTCAATAATCAATATATATGTGCAGTATGAATTTTGTATAATTTTGGGGCATTTTCATTTATCTAAGTCATTTAAACAATACCAAACTTTCAAAAAGGTTGATTATAAATTGTCTGAATTTTGGGAAGGCTTTCTTGACGGAGAGAGAGACGAAGAGAAAGAGAAAAATAAATAAATTTTTTAAAGAATATTCTATTAAGGGGTAATTTGGTCCAAAAAAATTCTTCACACAATCACTCAAACAAAAGTAGATAAAAATGACTCCCTCGTGATACTTGAGGGGTTTTTTTGCTAAGAGTATTCAAAAGGGGAGTTTTTTTTTTTTTTTTTTTTTTTTTTTTTTTTTTTTTTTTTTTTTTGACAATTCGTCCTCACAAAATATCATTACTATTTCGAAAAGAAATAAAAATGATCCACACCCATATATCATGGTGGAGGATCGATAACCATCAACCCGGTCAAAACCCGGGAATACAGAAAGTTATCCAAACCCTAAATGGCTCCCTCGTTTATGGATTAACTCTCTTCATGCATTTCAGGAAGTCTTCGCCGCCGTCGTCCACAATTTTGGTTCTGCATTGCTCTCCTTACTCGGCAATCCACCACAATGGTTGCTGCAAAGAAAACTGTAATATTCTCTCTCTCTATATGTTTTCTCTCTATATGTTTATGTATCTATGTATATATATATATATACACAAAATGCGTCTATATTCGATTTGAATCTCACGGGCCTGTTTTCGTCTGCTGAGGGAATGTATATGAAGAAAATAAGGTTTAAGAATTTTGCCATAATCATTTTGATTTGAAGAAAAAAAAAATTTCCGTCCAAAATGCCAACTAATTGGTTAAGAAATTTTAATTTATTATTTATTTTGTAGTTTTTTGGGATCGAATAGAGGTATGTTTTATAGCTGGTTAACATTTAATTCTTTTCAATGAATTCAGAAGAAGACTCATGAGAGCATTAACAATAGGCTCGCTCTGGTTATGAAGAGTGGAAAGTATACTTTGGGCTACAAAACTGTTCTTAAGTCTCTCAGGAGCTCCAAAGGTAGTTTTTTGTATTTATATGTGTAATCTATATTCTTGATTAATTTTTTCCCCATAAAATTTGTTTTATTGTTAATTCAAAGTATGTCTGGATATTTTGATTCGACTTTTTTTGTCTGCACTATAGCACCTGTGATGTGAACTGGGCTGAAATCTATTGGCCAGATTTTGTATCTTAATAAACGGTTGCATGGTAGTTGTATGCCATATTGTTGCGCCTTTTTTTGCCAACAATAATATGGTGTTCTCGATTTTATATATTTTTATGCATTAGGCAATATATATTGTGATAGTAGCCCAAAATGTGTTATGGGTGGGATAAATTAAAATATGACCTTATTTTCAGTGTCATGATTTTGAAATGTTCTAATAAACTAAAATTGCTTATTTTGATCCTGATGATAGCAAAAGATTGCTCTATTTCTCTCTCCAAGGCAAGAAAAGTAGACCAGAAATGGCAAACCAGAATGGATTAAAGTTCATGATATGTGAATTTTATTGCAAATTGATGGTAAATCATTTCATCATGTGTTTACAGGAAAATTAATTATCATTGCCAACAACTGTCCTCCTCTTAGGAAGTCCGAGATAGAATATTATGCTATGTTGTCAAAGGTTGGAGTTCACCACTATAATGGAAGTGAGTTTTTGACTCCGTTTTATTGTTTAAATTTATATCCATGACACTTTGTATCTGTATTATTGTACTGCTGTCATATAGCTGTTTGTACATTCTCAATGTGTTCTCAACATATAAATATGTTTATATATCTATTTCCTTAAGCTTTCCTGTTATGTTGGACTAAATTTTTTATTAATCAGCATTCAGTAAAAGTTTATACCTTATAACAAATAGTTCAAGTACAAGTACTTTAAATGATCTTAACCCCCTGGTCCTAAGTTACTCACTGCTCCCAATTTGATCTTCTGTGTGTGTTACAATTTATTTTTTATATGTTGTATTGTTTTACATGGTTCATACATACCATGCATTTGCTTATGTAAATTTGAAATAATATATTATTCAGCTAGTGACATTTTTGATTTATTGATCTTTTTATCAGCATTTGGAGTTTCATATGACAAACCATGCTGCATATGCATCTTGTTAAGACTATAGAAATAAGGGAACTGCAATTAATTTATATGTCATGTAAATTTCAATTGCAACAACAATGGGCAACATGTTCCACTCGCTTTTCTTTTAGGACTCTTTTCTCTCATTTTAAAGCTGGTAAAGTAGACTTAAAGTTAGAAAACTTGGCACATCATAACACTATACATTCTATGTTGTTCCAGAAACCTGATAGCAGCTTCTTATTGTTTCTAGTTATCAAAAAAAATGTCAATTTATCATAATAATCATGTAATGGCAGTGCATTTTTCTTCTTTAAATTCATTGCCTTAATTCTTGAATGATCTCCAAATTGTTATGCATATTTTCCCGAGTCTCGCTCATACAAATATTGAATCCTCAAATGGGCTGTTTTTGTAATCTAAGAAGCTACTACTTCTGAAAAGAAAACTTCTGATTAAATTTTTTTCTTTGAAAGGTCAAATTGAAACAAACAGAATACCAAATGGTATTTTTGTACTTTGGTTTTCTTTAGTGCTGTAGCATGTGCATGAAATGAAAACACTAGTCGAACAAAATTTAGTGGGGAAAAAGATTTTTTTTTTTGAAGATATAGGCATCATTGCGAAGCTGGACAAGTGAAAGAGACTAGAAGTTGGCTTATTACAAGTACTGAAGTACATTTATCTGGAAATTCTGTAATTGAGTGGAATAGAGAGGAAGAGTTGCTCTTTTCGAGATGTAGAGGCAGAAGCAAACTGAAGAAAAGGGAACCCTAATTTTGTTCTGTTTCTGATTCTTAAGACAGTATCTGATGGACTGATTTACAGATCTAAATCAGTTTTGGATCCCACAAGAAAAAGAATAAAAGAGGCAGGGCTTTATGTGAAGGATAAGTCTGAAATGCAAGGAATTACAACCTATGAGTGAGAGATTACACTGAAATGTTAAGAAAATTTTATTTCTGCTTAGAACGAGTTGTTTTTAGTCTAATAGTTGGTGATGTCTGCAATTGCCACAAACCACTTGAACCAGGCCATGAAGTGTCGACATTGAGATGCCTAATTCTGGACCCGTTGCTTTTGCCAACTTGATTACCTATGTGGGTTAGAAGAGATATATGTTAGTTGTAATCGTGTTAAAGAACATTGTCCCAAAGCTAACTAATGCAGGATGAAGAAGAAGGGAGAAAGACAGAAGAATAATATAAAGGGAAGATCTCAGTAATCAATATACATGAAAATGTGCCTTTACAATGTATATAAATTTTTTATATGTAAATATTATATTGAAAGCGTTCAAAAGGGGGACGCGTCCCTAAAAGGCTACACAAGGCCAAATAGGGCCCTTAGACTCTCACAATGTATCAACCACCCATATAAATTGGCACAAGGAAAAGCCCTAATCAAACTCTGATAGTCTGATACCAAAAGTAAAACCCTAAAATACTATATTACTAAAATATCTTAAAATAAAAACATTATTATAATAGAGGCGACACACATGCACTTCAATCTTTAAGGTCATGTTTGGTTCTCTATCAATCTCTCCCGGCTAAGAACTCTCCTCTGGACAGTAATTGCATAAGCACAGTTCCAAAAAGTATGAGTCAACACTCCGAGTAATATCTGAAGCTGGATAACCTTTCCATCGAACAAGGTAATACTGAATATCTCCAAGGTAACATGCATCACTCTGACAATAAAAAATATCCTCAGTCTAATTCAAATAATGCGATTGAAAGTACAAAACTAATGCTGGTGCTGAGGAATATGTAACTCCATCTGTAGCATCACATGCCAATAAAATAGGAGGCTCAAAGGTGCCTCGGTCATATAATAAATACTTCACCTCAAAAATTGAATTTGTACTCACATCCAATGACCAATCAAAGAAATATGCATTAGGTCTTGATTTATGAATGATGTGGAAAAGTCGAACAATTTGGGCATATTTTATTTGGAAGGGTTCTTAGGATAAGAATGTGGTAGTGCATGAATCATAACATAATCCCCGTCAATTAATTCAAGATTCCTATGATGAGCATATGCACTAAGTTCATAATTCTTTTTACTCAAGATAATTCCTTGTCACATATCGACGTGAAATCATGGACAAGCTAAACTAAGGAATCAAGAAATTCAAGTGAATACATATATGGAGGTGAGGGGACATGATCATGGAAATGGAATATAAATAATCTTGAAAGAACAACTACCAGTATACTGATTGGTCAAACTATCATAAACGTACTCCATAATAGGCAAAAACAAGTTCCAAGTGTCCCAGTGCGCTTTAACAAGAAAACTAATCAACTTTCCTAGACGGTTGTTAACAATCTCATTTTTCCAATTACTTCAAGGACAAGATGCAAAAGGATATTTTAGATTTGTCCCTAAAATTGTCCAAAGTTTCTTCTAAAAATGACTATGGTACTTGACATCCCTATTTGACACAATGGAAGTGGATGACTCATGATGTTTCACCACCTCTTTGAGGCTATCATGAATGAACTGGTTTTATGTAAACTCATCATTTGGTTGACTAAGTTGAACAAGTTCCCTAGGATGTGTGAGATTATGTGCGACATTAGATAAATGTGATCTTGGAATTAAGGCAATTGTGTGTTGCTCACCATTTATGGTGATAATTTAGCTTGATGCTCCTTAACTGTCACATCTTTAATTTTATTTAAATTAGTGCATTTAGTTAGTGGAGAACCCAACACTTCCTCTGATGTGACATAGGGAACTTCATTAGTTATCTCTTTTTTCTTCTTTTGCCAACACAGGAGATATGTGACTTCTTTCAAAATACTATTTTTTAGATGCATCTTGACAAATAGAAGCGACTACTTCCGCAAAATTGGTGCGCAAAATGTTCATAGATTGTAGATCTTTTGAAAGACAAGGCTTAAGAATTTTAGCACAATTATATAGTGCTTTTTCTCCTAACTTGTAAGATTGAGGTGGAATAGTCTGATTTCTCTGCTTAACACTAGTTAGAAGAGGGTGAAGTAGCTCCACCGAGATATGGTCGTTTTTTTCCGGTACAAGAGTCATAATTTTCTCCGTGGATGAAAAGACGCTATCTGAGTGATAATACCTTATTCCCCTTAAAAAGTGTCCAAGTATCTCAACAATTAATTAATTACAATCCAAATCAAGCATTACCAAGCATGACTTGACGTCTGCAATAGTTTGAAGCATCGGAATAATTTTCTGTAGCAGTGGTCGGAAATATAACACAACTTCTCAATGGTTACCTGAAAAATCTCCTTTAGTTGCTCATCACTGAAAGGCACGGACTTGGAAGACTGGGGGGCTTAACAAGGGTGGGATTGAATCGATTTCATATATGAAGATGCATGAATTTTCTCTCTCTAAGTTGACAGAATTTCATTACACTTCAAAAATTTTTTCTGCCCTTATTCCTCCTTTCTATTTATAGATCTTTTACATTACTCCAGAGCCTTCTTCACTAATTTCCGCTACTGGGCCTATCCTCAAGGTTCAGTGGTTATGGGCCTGAATCCTCCTGGAAGGCCTTTTTTAATTGGTCCAATACACCCGGTCTGCTTTGTGGACGTCAAGATCGGGCCCTTGTCAATTGTCAGGCCCATACTTCGTTATGTGAGTTAGATCTGGCCCAAGCCGCCTTTAGCGTCCTCAACTGCCCCCATAACCATTCTCTCATTAATTAGGGTGTGATTATTTAAAGATTCAATGATGACCTGACGGCTTATGATGATTTGACAGCTCAAGACGATTGTATGGGGCACCGAGTGGTCCGCCTCGGAATTAATGCCCTTTTTGAAATTTGAATCCCTTTAACTTCCTGACGTCTCGGCCAATGGGACCACTTTCCCTTTAAATACCCTTCTTCCATGACCAAAGCTTTTCCTGTCGCATCTCTCACATCTTGTTGTCAATCAATTCAATCCACTTTCCCAAGGCGAACGTCATCTTTACTGGTCAAATCGCATCTTCTCCGGCGAGTCTTGTGAAAGATTCTTCATCCTCAGTTTCCTTGCGATATTCTCTGAAGTTAGTCTTGTTGCCCTTCTCCCCTTAAAATCTTTGCATTCTTTGTCAAGGCTCATAGTATCTTTCACCATGCCTATCGATCTAGATGTTCTTCGCATGAAGCTCCACCTTCCCAGCAATATTCATGTTAGGGAATGCCCCGCAAATGTAAATATCAGAACTGGTGAAGGCCTTCTTCCCGGTGAAACCTTATTTTGCCTCCATCATTTAAATATTATCAGATTCCCTCTGCATCCTTTCTTTTGTTATGTATTCAATAGGTTGAAGATTTCTCCTCTTCAAGTCAACCCCAACTTTTTTAGGGTTCTATCCATTCTGTTGCTTCTGAATCGTGACAGAGGTTTGGATCTTGATTTAATCGATCTTCTCCTTTGTTACAAAGTTAGCAAGATTAGGTTGGATGAGGCTTACTATCATTTCTATCCGGTCGAGAAGATGTCCATCTGTACGGACAAACTTAAATCTGAAAAAGGGTGGAAAAGAGGCATCGTTGGGGTTCGGGCAGCTTGGTTTGCTCCA